CAGCCAGAAAAGTAACTCCAACCATACTTTTTTTTTCTTATTACGCAACTCAGCGCGCGAAAGTAAAAGTTACGTGTTTGGTGAATTGAAAAAGTTGACAGATAAGCCTGATAAGCCAAAAAAATGATGTTACCAATGGCCTCGAAGAGATACAGAGATGAAGATATATTCCCAGGCGGATGATTGTGGAGCACAAGTATGTACATATATATGAATCGAAATTGATTTTAAAAAAATAAACATTACAATGAAACACATAAATTATTGGGAGAATTTGAGTTTGCACCCCATATTTTAGGTGATATTTGAGTTTGCACCATATTTTTAAAATCATTAATATATGCACCCCAATTCACTATAAAATCATTTGACTTTGCATCCCACTATTTCACAATTTTTTAGGTGTAACTTAATATTGTTAATTTGGTGTAACAAGTTTCACTCAAAAGTTGAATTCGAACTTCACGTAAGGGATCAATGTAGTAACTAGATTTGGTCACTATCACAACGGGTCAGTTAGTATATTTGGTCAAATGGAGTAATTGTAACTGATTGGTTCGGTTAATTGTAACTGATCAGATCGAATACATATAACTGATCATCAGTTATCATCAAAAATTAATTTGAATGTGTTCCCGATTGAATTTTTAGCTCAAATTTGGTATGAGTAAACTAGACTTGATGAATAAGATGTTAAAAAAATTTTATCAAAAAAATTTCACCGGAAACCACCCCAAATCGCGACGGCCAGAGAGAGCATCCTAAATAAGACTTAATTGACTTTTTATGAAAGTTCGAGCACCTATTTGACTGTTTTCCAAAAAAGTAATCTCAATAATCGTAATTCAGAATGGACATGAATAAGTACCGACATGGCGATAAAGACTTTATGTAATACGTAGTACTCGTATAAGATAAGATAGGTTAACACAATAATCATTTTTTTCCTTCACAAGTGTAAACTTGTGGAGTTAAGTATACAATTTAAACATACGCAAATTTGCTTATTAGGATGTACGCAAAAATACGCAAAATACACAACTGATATTATTTTTATCTGACGAATGAAATTTTAGATTGACAATTGCATTTTCACTTTTTTTTGAATGAAACTGGCTTAACTTATCATAACCAAACAGACCAAACGGACCAAACCAAAATAGGTTACAAAGTCACGACAAGTCTCCTGTCTACCGTCCGCCCAAGGACCAGACTCAGAATTAATCACATCCGTAAAAGCCATATAATTCGCTGATCCCGCTTTGGACTTACCTGAGCCTATGACTTGCAGACACGACTCCCCATTTCCTGTTTTAGTTTCACAAACTTTTTTTGCTGGAAAAACTCAGCACAACCAAAACAAAAACAACATCCAGAATGTGGGAAATAAATAAAACAAAACAATAAGAGTAAAAAAGTTTCTCAGCTAAAAAGGTCGAAACCAGCATCAGATCATCTGGCGGGTCTAAAGTCCAGCGCCCGCCTCCTCCCTGTTGTTTGGCTTGGTCGGGCGAGCCTGTTGTCCAAGGCCCGCCCCAACCCCGTTTTTTCTGTCACAAGTTTCAATCTCCATCAATGTGCATGCAGATGATGATTCCAACGCCCCTCGTCGACGTTTTTCTTCAGCAACTTTTACTCCTTTATCCCGGCTCCCTGGACTCTTCATCTCACCTGGAAAAACAACAGAACCGGAACCCAACTCCCATATCTCCATTGCCGGTGTAGACATCTCCATTCCCACAGCGATGTAAATCCCCTTATTAACTGTTTTCTCATCAACAAGCCACTTGCTACCTCCCCCTCTACCAGTGCGCCCACGACCAGCCCTCATCCACGGCCCAAAATCTCTTACATGTTCTGAATTCGGTTGTCCTAGAGTTTGGGGGCAGAATTTGTCTCCATGACTAATACAACCACAAGCAAAACAGAATTTTGGAAGTTTTTCATATCTCAGGTCTACCCAAAGACAATCCCCATTCATTTTTTGAACCTTTAAATTTTTCTTGAGCGGCTTCCTTATATCCAAACAGACCCGGATCCTCAAGTAGGCCCTTCAACGCCCCTCAAATTGATTTTTGTCAAGATTAATATAACATCCAAGATAATTACCAATAATCCCAGCAAACCTTTGATTCAAGTGCCCTACCGGCAGGTAATGCACTTGTACTCAAAAATCCGAAAAGAATAGAGGCACTTTCAGTAGCACGTCATCTGGCTTGAGTTCACGCAACACCACAAGATTCCGATCATACAACCAAGGACCATATTCACGCAACACGCTTCGTATCAATTTCATGATAAAAAGAGAAGATGTACCTCTTATCGTTTATTGCTTTAATTGAGACACCTCTGCCCGGTCTCCAAATAGAAGCCATTGTGTCCCTAAATGCCAGAAAATTTTTTCTCTTCTCTGTAAAAATAGTACTCCCTCCGCCCCCCTAAGTTTGTTCCTTTTTACCTTTTTCGTTCGTCCCACTAAGTTTGTCTCATATCATATTTGGTAACATTTGAGTGGTTAGAATTCATTCTTACTTTATTTACACTTTATCAATTCAATACTAACCACACAATTCCACTTTTTCTTAAAAACCACACCACAGCCCTCCGTCCCAAACTTAGGGGGACGGAGGGAGTACCTACTAGAGACCACTCGGACAGTCCTCCTTCCAGCTCTTCCCTCCCACTCACATCTGGCAGCAATATATCCACTAGTTTGTCATCTTCCATTTCCAATTGCAAAAGACCATGGCGATCCACCTGCTCCATGTATTTTTCCATCCTGCCACCTATCTAAAAACACTAGCACACCACAAGCAGAAGCACGAGAAACTAGAACGAAAAAAACGACCTAAACAATGCAAATTGCGACGATCATTGGGAAAATCACGGTGCAAAACCTCTACTGCCGGCGAAACAAACGGCGAAAGAAAGAATTCCAACCCAAATTTGCACCGACCGTCACAGCTACCAACAAACTCGAATCAAAGAATTTGGCTTTCACAGAAAGCTAACGAGATAATATCAATACAAGATCGAAACAGAGAAACGACAATGAACAGATCAAGACCAAAGTAAAGATTCAACCCATGAATCTGCACATACGGCGGCGCTATGAAAACCTACATTGCTACGGGCACACATACTAGTTATACATTTTGTTTTTAATAAATAATTGCATTTTCACCTTTGAATATTTTAAATTATATACTCCGTACTAAGGATGTTTGTACTTGGACTATAATTTGCCCCAAACGAGACCAGTTCAGACCAGACCAGACCAGACTTGGATAGTTATAAAAATACAAAGAAATAGACCTTACCAGACCAGATCAGACCAGACCAGCAAATTACAGTCCAAGTAAAAACATCCTAATTATAACATATGTATATTATAGAAAGAAAACACGATCAATTGCCAAAATATGTTTTCATTCAAAGTTCATGCATGTCACATATACTTCGTATCAAATTATGTAATTTGTACGTAGTATGTAGTAGGGAGTAGTATTTTTCTCCTAAATAATTACCACCGCATTCAAAGTCTGTTTAGTGATCATGTTATTATGTTTATCAGTCAAAATTTTGATCCAACACGTAACTTTGATTAAACACATGTATAATTATCTAAACGAAAGACTTTTTAGTTATTTTTCATATAATTTTTATCTTATTTTATTCAGAAAATGTAATTTAAAAATCATTTTTATAAATTAATAGAATCAGCCAATTCAACCACTACAACTAAAACTTAAAAAAATTAAATAGAATCAATGAATTCAATCATTTATTTAAGTAGATCTATTTGTGGTAGCCATATCTAAAAGTAAGAAAACTGCAAAGAGATTATGGAGGTAAGTTTAGACAATGATTTTGACTAATACTACCTCCGTCCCATTTTATGTGTCTTAGTTTGACTTGGCACGAGTATTAATGATGTGATTGAAAAAGTAAAAGTTGTGGTTGAGGTAGTTTGAGTATAATAAAGTGAAATAGTGTTGGCCACATATTTCTTTCTAAAAAAGGAAAGGAGACACTTATTTTGGGACAACCCAAAAAGGAAAGTAGGACAGGTAATATGGGACAGAGGGAGTATAATATTTGGAAAGATCACTTATAGCAAGGGACAATGTACAAATATACTCATGTATGATGCATGTGAAAACAAATATACCCCTATTCTATTTTTCGGAACCCAAATATCGTTGAAGTGAAGTATATGTTGAAGTGCATATATACCTCTAAACTTCTAAAAAGTGCAAAATATAGTTTTTTCCCGGAGAGGGGTAATTTCTAATATTATTTCCCAAACTAGGGTACTTTTGAACTCATTTCTCAAATTATGGTACTTTTGAACTTATTTCCCAAATAGGAGGTGTTTTTTCCTTGTCATATGTATGTTTGCATAATCTAAAAACAATAAAAACAGTTTCTTGTGTGGAGGCCAAAAAATGTCAAAACACTAAAGAAAGCGGTTAGTTATAAAAGCTAATGGAATCCGCTAATATCAATCTGCTGATACAACCGGTTATGAGCTAGCAAACAATCGTTATTATAAAAAACGGTCGTTGACATTTTTAGACTTCCACTTTTGATGACAAAATCAAAGTAAAAGGACTGCAAATGTCAATTTCACAATATTTAGAATATGAAATGTCGAGAATTCTAAAGTTGAGAATCAAGAATTTATCACTCTCAAAAGTCAAAAAATTGACTAATTTGTCACTAAAGCATCTTTTTTTATACCAATTTGTCTAAAATCGTTTTTTTACCAATCTGTCCAATAGCCCTCTTTTTTTAACCAATTTGGTAATTTGGCCGTGGTATTTAAATTATTTTCTCAATTGTACAAGCAAGACGGCCAAAACCAGCGAATCCATGGAAATTGGAAAATACGTTAAAGCGGTTGGGCCGGGCTAGAGGCGGACTAAAATCTAAAACATAGCCAAGTCACTTATTCATAACAACCACAACTCCACAAGAGATGGAAGTATGGTATTTATATCGGTTTGATCGGGTAAGGATATGATCGACTTCTGAGGCCTGAGGGTAATATATACGTATAATAAAACTACTAAACTAGCTAGTTCTACGTACGTATATCGATCATAAGATGTGTAGGGCTCTCGAAACTAAAGATCCGCCGTCATCAAAAGCTCGTCCTAACGATCTGACGATTAACCTAGAAAGCAAAAGGACCTTCATCTCCAAGGGGATTCCGCTGCCGGGTTCTTTTGGGAATGTTCTAGTGCGCCAAGAGATACACGAGAACATAGAAAAAACATCATCAGAAAGTGATGCTTTTCGTGTGTTCAAGCATTATCGTGAATTGACGCCGGCCCGGGCTGGGATTTTGGATGCGCAACTCGACTCTTTCGTGGCCATGCACCCCATTGGCCGCGACGGCGACGGGGTGGTCGTCTACAAAGCAATCTGGATTCTTGGTTCGTTGACGGAGAGGAGGTCGAGCCATTCTGGGTTCCTCTCCGCGGTGAACTTCGTCGCGCTCAAGGTCGTGGGGGATAACCCAGAAATCGTGTCAAATGTGAAGGGGGAGATTGGAAGACACAATGATTTTCGTCATCCCAATTCTCTGAGAGTGCTTACCCATTTCAAGGACCCCCAGTCCAATAAATACTGTGTCGTGATCAGCGAATTCCCGGATCTCGGATCCCTCCGCGCCATAATGTTGAACAGGTTCCCTACAGGGTTTCCAGAGGACCTCATCCTCTCTTCCCTCAGATCTGTTCTGAATGCCCTGAAGCAGCTCCACAAGAGGCGCCGCACTGTGCACGGAGATATCAATTCCGGACACGTTTACCTCTGTGGCACCCCCTCGCTGCGGCACACTTGGGGCATATGCTTGGGCTTCGCTGCCGCTCTCTATGAAGACGCCGCCGCATGCAACGGGTCCAGTTTCCTTCCGTGGGCTTCTATGGCCCACTGGGCCGCTCCCCCAGAAGTGTACACGCAGAAGACGGACGTTTGGTTCGTCGGAATCACCGCTCTTGAGTTGGCCTACGGCGGACTCAATGTTACCAGCCGAGATGCCTTTGACGCACTCATCAAACATATAATTGTCCATAGGACGCTCCCGACATCCACTGCTACCCCTTGTCTTGTTACTGATGAGGGCGGCGCCGCCGCGGAGCCGGCGGTGCGAAAACGGCGTAATAGCGCCGCCAAGAAGCTCATGGCGAAACTGCTGCCTTTTAGCCCCTCGTCCCCTAATGGTGGTAAGCCTAGTGGTGGGCGTCTTTCACCATTTTCTGAGGCGTTCACTGACATGGTGATCCAATGCCTCTCTGGTGATCCTAAAAAGAGGCCGCGTGTTCACGAGCTTTTGTGCCACCCATTCTTCCAAAGAAGCGCAAATCGCAACGACGGAGAGCACTTTTACGATGCCGTGATGAACACTACTCCTATCTCATCACCTCCTATTTCATAACCATGTAAGTAGTACGTATTACTCCATATCATGGGAAAAAGAGGTATTTTTAACTTTGTATGGACAAAATTTGTGTGCTAAGTACGAAGTATAATTTTTTAGTAGTGTATTGTCATCATCCACCGCCATCTCAAATCGACATAAAAATACAAGGTGAACTCATCAATTGTCTAGAATTTGCCAATAACCCAATACTTTAAATTAAACTAGTTGATCAAGAATTTATTGAAACACAAAGCAGTGGAGTTATTATATTAATCGAGTAAGTTACGTTCATGAAGTACATCCACGAGCTCAAGGACCATTTTTAGGAAGTGGGTGCATGAAATGCATAGACTACAAGCTAACTCACATACTATGACACACAAAAAGTGAAAGTATCAAAATAGATGTCTTCTACGATTTGCCATCATTCATAAAAAATGTCATTAGAAACGGTGTTAAGAAAAACTTTTCTACACACTGAATCACGTGTTGTCAAATCTATTTACACTTTTCTTGACACGTGTTAGAGAAGGTTTTTGTACATTTCAAAGAACTTTTACCTTAAGTGACTTCACATTCCATGCATTTTTTCCATGTGTCAAGTATCAATTCTCATTTCAAAAATTTAGCATTGGAGATGCTTCAAGCTGCTTTGGAAAAGATCCATTTTTAGGATCGGAGTATTAGTGCGACAAACCGTATCATTATTTTCACACTATAAGCGTGATACATTATTTTCAGGGTCTAAATGCATGGTTGAACCTCTTCCCAAAAAATGGTTGAACCTCTAGGTTGAAACTCCACTACTAAAAGTGGTGAATGTCTCTCAAAAAATGAAAACTAAACAAGCTTCAATTTGATATTTAAAAAATTAGCGCAAGGACTGGAAACTCATCACACAAGTCGTCTCATTTGGACAACTACCCGTAAGGCCGTAACTCACCAACAGCACAAAAATCAGTACAAAGTATGAATTGAAGTATATCCGAACTACTAGTACGTAGTAGTTTTTTACCCGAACTAGTTTCCTGTCACTCTTAGAGACTCTTTGTCATTGCCTCAACCGTTTTTTTGATCATCAACTCCAACTCATATATTAAACCATTACGAAGAAGATCATTACAACAGACACAAAAAGATCAATCCTGACAAAAACTAACCCTAGGCAACTATCGCAATCAATCCTACGACTAGACTCTCAGAGGATCACCCCTTAAAGAGCAATACGAATCACTAACCACCAAGCGGGTGTGACACATCAATCACAGACCATATAGATCCTTCTAATGACATAATATCTAGCAGAATTGACAATCAAAATTGTAGATCCAAACCTAAATACTTCAACAAAAAATGGAACATCGTAAACCAACATAACATGAAAATAAGACCATAAACAATAAAATAATGGACAAAAACACCAAACTTCTTGAAATTTCATCTTCCAAATCCCGACATCTCGATCAATCCCAGGCGGCGGTGGCTCAGGAGGGGGACGGACCGCCGATCTGTAATCTAGAGAACTCAGAATCTCCCTTTGTAACGCCCCGATTTTTTGTGATCCACTTTTATTAGTCATTATTATTACTATTTCAGTCCGTTAAATAAGTTTCTTTTGTGAACAATGTGATATTATTTTATCATGTTTTGTTTGTGGCAGGTAACGTTGACCTGTAAGCTCATTATATTTCAATTGAAGAAATAAATACTGTATTAATATTTGTTTCGTATATTGAAAGGAAAAATATTATTGTTCAGTTGGGTCTCAAGTATTTTTTTGTTTTAGAGGACGAAGAGACCCAAATCGGTTATCTTGGTCCGAATTAATATTTTTTATATCTAAAATCCCTAAGGATATGTGCTTAAATAGATATCATCGTATAAACCCTTAAGCGGCAAACACTATTATTCCTTATCTATGACTCCCATCTCTTACTAGCTGCTACTCTGGTATTCTTTCGCAAAATACGAAAAGTTCGGTCGATTTAAGGTAGCTGGAGCTGGTAAGTCAGATTCTGCTTCCATAGCATGCTTTCATTCATCATCCGTGAGTTCACAGTGCCTACTGTTTAGTTAAATTGTAGCAATTAAACTAGGGTTGGGGGTCGGTAGTATATTATGTTCCTTAATTTGATATCTATATGTGGAGGGTTTCTTTTCATCATTTGTTCGATCTTTAATAACTTCTTTACAATACATAGCTTTTAATAACAAACCAATCCAGTTGCTGCTATTTTCAGTAAAAGCGAATTTATTCACCGTTTTGAAGGCTGAAAAAGGATTCTTTTAAGGATTAATTGAGTTGTACCAATGGGTTATTGTGTATGCAAATTTTGGGATTTTAGTAGATAGAGCAAAAGATTTACGGGTTTCTTTGGAAAGAAAAGCAATTTTTCGATCATAGTGATCCTAGAAATCAGATTTTGTCTTTTCTGATTTCTATGCTACTCTTTTACAAATCGCAGCAGTTGTTTTATTCAAAGAAAGCTGATTCTGTTTTAATACTTTATTTTAGAAGGAATTTAACTCACAGGTTTGAATGCATAGTTCATGAACAAAAACACATTGATTTTAGCTTAATAACGAGTTCAATGAGTTGCTAACATTTAGATAAAATAAAAACCCAGATCAGATGCGTATAGAACCTTAAGAGCTCTTATTTGTTAAAGAGCAACTTTCAAGAAGATCATATAAGTCGGTGTTGAAGTTCTATTAAAGCATAGCAATTCTGATTACACTATTATATCTAATTAAAGATTTAAGAGAAGAGTTTAGCGGAAGACGTTATCAAGGTGTCACACTTAAGTGACCGTTTTGAGTTCAGCTTCTATCAGGTAAGTCACCACCACCTATACATGATAGTTCTAAATAAAGCATGAAATATTAGCTAATTGTGAATATGATATATATGCTTGAATACTTGGAATTGTATGGCATGAGATATATGAATTTCAAGTTCTATGTTTGATTTTGGGTTGGATTCCTATGGAACCAACAATGAAAGGAAGTTATGATGATAATGAAAGTAATGAAAGATAAGTAATGTTACAAGGTAGCCGTGCCTCCAAGTAACTACCTGAGCTGAGCGTAGCGGGATCTCCTTCCGCGGGGAGTCCCGGGGTTGCTTCTGATGGCTGAGGGCTAGCTACCCGAGGTCATCAGCGAGGGGCCAGGACACGAGCTACGGGCCCATCAAGTCAAGGAATGAGATAAGAAGAAAGAATGATGAATAATGAAATCTCTAGATGTTTGATACATGAATGCTTATGAATGGTTATCATGTGTGATTATAGTATATGTGTGGTGTATTCAACATGAGTATCTATTTATGATTAGCTAAGATTCCCTAAAATGTTTTTAGTGGATAAAATGGTGACTTACTAAGCATTATTGCTTACGAGAATTCTATTCTCCCATGTTCTCATGTATAGGTAATAAACGATGAACAAAAGCCTGAGAGAATGTATGTAGCCGGTGACAAGGTTTTGGATGGGTTAACGGAGAAGATCGGGCTATTGGATATATTGTTGTTTCAGTACGTTGGTACTTCAATGGGTTGTTATATGTTTTAAAATCCTGATCAGGTGTAACGGTTTTAAGGATGTTTTATTTTGGATGTCTTTTGTTATGGTTCTAAGGTTTGATTTTGTTTTAAAAGAAATAAAGTCTCATATAGAGGCTTTGTATCTTTGTTCCGCTTGATTTGTCGAGTCTCTTTTATGTTTGAGTATCGTAATGGCCGTTTTGGGGACGGTCGTTACACCCTTGCCCGCTGACATCTCAGTTTTGTCTCCATCACGAAAATAATAGAAGGGCGATTCTGTTTGTTGAACCAAATCTGTCAAACACTAAAGCGCTGCTGGAATCCCCAACCCTCTGCAATTCCATATGATGATACACATCTTCCACTAAACAACACACCCCAAGGCTTCGATTTCTCGAAACTGCAAGAAGTATGCACACATTCAACTCTCCTACCAATTCGGAAAAATCTGAAAGCAATAACAAAAACCAGCGCCATGATCATAATCGATCACAGCCGGACAACCATGCTAGGCATTGCCTTGCGGCAACCCTAGAGAGTAAGAAACCGAAGCTCCGAAAAATACGAAGTCTCTTGCCTCAACCGCTAAAAAATGATTTTTAAACGGTGCTTTCTTGTAAAAGTTGATAGTGTTTTAGAATATAAGTGATTAAGATGGAAAGTTAAAGTTAGAAATTAATTAGAATGTTTGATAAAAAAATGTTCTTTTGATGTAATATTTTATTAAAATACAAATATGCACTTATATAAAAAAGATAGGGGGAAAAAGACTATAATAGGAGTAAAACATGGGCTTGGAACACAAATAAGACCTCTAACTTTTTAAACCCTAAATAGGACTTATTTTCATTGACGGGGACAAAAATACCCTCACATCTCACGTAGCCACACAACACGCACACGAGAGACACAATATCCTTCCATGCAGATCGAACTCCTACGTTTACGCTCTTCTGGCAAAATAGTTCAACCTCGAGGTGGCCGTGTGCAAGGAAGACGAGCAGTTCCCGTTGCCGGCGAGTGGCCAGTGGGAGCTTCGTTCCCGTCGCCGGAAAGTATCCTCTGGGTGGGCATCTTGCCGTCGGTGTTGGACTGGTACTTGGACAAACGAGTAGATGACATGGTGAGATCCGGAATTATGGAGGAGCTTGAAGAATGGTTTCACTCGACGAGAAAAATACCCCTGAGAATCTGTGATCTCTATATCGGGATGGCTACATCCCCTGCGACGAACAATCGCCTTCAGCCTAGCTAGAGACTCTCGCACAACTGCACTGTTACTAAACCTCCGTCAATGACCTCCACTTCAATAGGGGGAATCAAAGGATTTGCCACGAAATATGTGGCAAATATGAACTTTCCACCCATCAAAGAGTTTTCTGGAGCAATCTGAGGGCCTTCCAACTAATTAAGAGCTTTGTTGTCCAGTGAATTGATTTTTTGACCCATGTAATGATTTTTGCAATGGTAGGAGGGAATGATTGTGTTGATGCTTTCTTTCTTATTCATCGTATCTATTGCCATTTTCAATTTGTTGAATTTTATACTCAGTACTTGTTCTATGAATCACGTGCTTGAGAGTATTTTCTTTTGCTTGTTCTGTTTCAATCCATGAGTACTAATGCGAAGAGTGGTTTATTTGGAAATCTGAAAATCTTCTGTTGGATTTTTATTAGGGAGTAGTTTTTTTTTTGTAATACGTAGTACCTAGTACTATGTACGTATAATTTTCTTGTTGTTCATATTTTTTCCACAATAATCATACTATTATTATAAAATTTTCACAATCTCACGATATATAAAAATAACTAAAACTGTCAATAATAATGTTGTCAATGTCAATATCAATGTTATAAAAATGTCATTGTAATAATCACATCGCAATATCTATAATAATGTTATGATAATGTCAATGTTATAAAAATGACAATGTTATAAAAATGACATTGTTAAAAACAATGTCAATGTCATAAAATTGTAAGTATTGTCGAAAAAACATAACAATGTCAAATAATGACGATTTCAATGCTATAAATTAAATGTCATTGTAATAATCACAATGTCATGATAATGTCAATGATATAATTTTGACATTACAAAAATGACAATGACAATATTAATGTCAATGACTTTCAAGGCAATGTCATTGCTATAATTTAGAAAAATGACTTAACGTCAAAAAAAATGTCACAATATCAAATACTAAAAATAACAATGTTTTAAATGACGACAGTGTAATAATGACAATGTGAATGTTGATGTCGATATATATATCTACCATGACAATGTCATTGGCAGAATGTAGAAAAATTTTACAATGTAAAAAAAATCACAATAACAAATAATAACAATGACATTGAAAATAGTGTGAAAAAAGTTGACAAAATGTTACCCTATCGAAAAACGTCAAAATATCAAACAATGTCAAAGAAAATGTCATAAAAATGTTGTAAATAATGACATTATAATAATGATAATGTTAATGCCGGTGTTATTGACCGTCTTGACAATGTTATTTCCAAAATGTAGAAAAAATGGTACAAGGTCAAAAAATATTTGTTCTCACTTTGTCAGAAATATTGATTCCACCTATCACATTGTCCCAATAAAGGCAATGACACAATACTAAAAAAAATGTCACAATTTTAAAATGAATCCACCTGATACTAAGAATTTAAATTTTAATAAACTACTCTGTATTCTTTTAATAAGGAAATTAAGTATGTGTAAATTCTAATTTATACGGAATATTGTGAAAGAAAACGAAAAAAACAAAAAAAAAAAATCAAAAGATACCTAAAAAAACAATCTGGATAGAAAAGGGATAACCAAGCAAGAAGATGGATAGAAAATACGATCTGGATATAACAAGAATAAAGTTGAAACCAAAGTCACCTAAAAAATTGACAAGGTATGTGAGCAGCGGACAAAAAACAAAAAACAACTACGAATAAGGGAGGAAGAGGAGAGCGAAATTAAAGAAGGAGAAGAAGGGCCTCCAGCTGCCACTGCTATATCCCCATCCCATTGCCGCCGAGTAGCCTGTAGCCGTACGACCAAGTCCTTCCGCCGCCACACTCGTGGGGCCATGCCGTACAGCCGCTACATCGCCGCCTGCACCTCCTCCTTGCCGTCCATCGTCTATTTAACCGTTGACTGACTTCCTCGTTTCAGATTTGATATCAAGACCAGATCGACCGCAGGAGATTTGGAAAAGGATTGGCAGCGGACGTCTCCTAAACGATTGAGGAAGATTATCCCCTGGAATAAATTAAGGGCAATCTTGGTATTTAGTAAAAAATAAGTCCTATTTCCGTTTAAAAAAGTGAGCAGTCTTATATGGTGTATTTAAGTAAAGTTATGGTCTTATTTAGGACCATTTCTCAAAAAGATATGAATCACAATGGAATCGTGGAAACCCCACCCCCTCCATCGTCAATTGTTGCATATCTTCTCTTATTTTCCTGTCTTTTTGTGTCTATTCCTAGGAATTGATTTTAGTGATTCAAGAATGTATGCATCGCATTTAACTTGAGCTTTGCTATGGAATTTGTGGAACCCGTAATGAACATCCAATTTACTCCGTATTTCAGATTTTGAGATCTAGCGGGTTTATATGAACATCCAATGGAACCCGTGATGAGATATACATGATATGGTGTGGGTAATAGTACATCTGTTTTTTTTTTAATTGCAACATTGGACTTTTTGCACTATTCACATATTTTATTTTGACTAAATTTTATTACTCAATATATTTTTTGCACTATTCACATATTCTACTTTGACTATATTTTATTAATCAATATATTATAAAATAAATTTTTAAAAGATATTGTTAAATTCTTCTTATTCTAAATTTTCAAAATATGAATTTTTTAAATTTTTTTACTAATAAAGATTAAAAGATATTAATGATCAAACTTGTGCATTGTCAAACATAAAATGTTGACCGTTACAATTAAAATGTCAAACGAGGAAGTCAGTCAACGGAAGTATGTGTGTATTGCATTTTCAAATAGGTTATTGGTGAAGCTGCTGAAATGAGGATGCGCATGTGGCTACAGACGAAGGATATTTTGGGGTTTGATGAAAATCATTGCCATTATAATTATCCTTTGCTTTCAAATTAATTACAAATACACCAAGAAACAGTTAAAAGAAGACATATACGACTTTAATGTGTTTTTTTAAAGTAGGAGCGCAAGGATTTGAAAAAAAACACTAATTTCCTCATTTTTAAGCCAAAAGCTAAAAAATACTCTTTTTAAACTATTTTTAAACTATTGCAAACACTCCTTTATTATAATCATAACAAGATGAAGTATCCATGCAATGCGCGTGTTTATCTAGAGTAGAAAGACATATATATATAACTTATTTAAAATATTTTATTATTTTCATTTATGCATAATGCATTATACTACGTATGTTGCAAGTTTTATTACCCTCATTGAGAACGACCGATAATGCTGAGAAGTTTTTTGTAGCATAGCGTTTAAGAAAATTTTCCCAGGTTCCAAATTTCTTGTTCGAGATGAAGTGATGGTCATTCTACACAGATTATTGACTCTCATTCTAGCTTTCCCAACACAAAATAGAACAGACCAGATCAGATCAGATCAGACCAGATCAGACCAAACTAGACCAGACCAGACTTCCTTAGTTATAAAATACACAGAGACCAGACATTTACCAGACCTGATCAGACCAGACTAGACCAGCAAATTTCAGTCCAAAAGAAACATCCTTATTACACTGATAAAAGCAAAGAGCACACTGCACACGTATCAAGATATTTTTTTTTACTATAATTACATATTTAAATTGTAACACATTAGATGCACCAAAGATGGGAAGATATCACTTGCCATTTTTGTATGTATTTAGGGCATCTCCATCCATGAGATTATTGGAAGATTAAGTTAGTGATGTGGCAGATTATTATTGGGGTCATGATTGGGTGATTGAGATTATTTGGTGAGATTATTTGACAAAATAATCTGGGATTGAAATATGAATCCAAATTATTTCAAGATTATTGTGAAATTAGTATTAATTAGTGACTGCAGGACCCACAAAAGATCTTATTATTTTGAGATTATGAATGATGTAATTTAGAATATGATAGATTATTTTGAAAAAATCTACGTGTAACTAAAAAATCTGTTTATTAAAGATCACATATGAATCAATAAGGTAGATTCATTGATTAGGTTTATCTATTATTTAAGGGCAAGCACCGTACTTTCTATACTATTTCTTTTTACACATTTTCTCACATTTAAGTGGAATTTTACCTCCAAAAATGTAACAATATTGTTACTTTATATATTTAAAGATCCGTTTAATTGTGAAATTGAGTGAATAGTGAATTTTATTGAAATTACTTAAATTCAGTTGAA